AGGTTCTGCCTGAATTATCCAGATAATTGCTTGGACCCTTTAGTCTGACAATGGAGACCTGGACTGCAGTGACATAAGCCAACAGAAGTTTCTTTAAGTTGTTTTTCCACATTCCATCCATAGTAAGAGAAAGGAAAGTGGGTACAGATGACTGTCAGGATTTCTGTAGGGGTCTCTGATCCCATTGCAGAGGTATCTATGAAGAATTGTAAAGTATGGCATGTGCAAACTGAAATGAATGAAGAGAAGATTCCCACTGAAGTTTCCTCATCGTACTGAACTTCAGAGGGCTGGAAGGCCACAGGGCACTAGACTGTACTTAGGCCTGTGGTCTTTTTCTTTGTAGTTTGTATGCTGCCTTTCTCTTTAGAAAGTCTCCCCCACCCCACCACCCATGTTCTTAAGTACTATTTACACTCGCAAATTTCTAGCTCTAGCTGGGACAGCCCCCTAAGAGCACCATGGATATGTCATTGCAAAAACAGATGCTTTTTTGACATCCTGCTGCTGCTATTTTGACCGCTACCAGGGGCTAGGGGTTAACACTTTAAGTGTGTCCTATGCCAAGAATTGTACCTAAACATCCAAAAGCTGAGTGCACACAACTAAACAGCAGAAAATACAATGAATACAGTGATCTCCTCGTGTGTGTGTGTGTGTGTGTGTGTGTGTGTGCGTGTGTGTGTGTGTGTGTGTGTGTGTGTGTGTGTGTGTATGGGGGGGCGTGTGTGTGTGTGTGTGTGTTCATGAGGGGGCATGCATATTCACTACCTGTACATTTTTTTTTTTTTTTTTTTTTTTTTTTTTGAGACAGGGGCTTGTTACTGTGGCCTAGAACTTGCCAAGTAGGCTAAGCTGGCTGGCCGGTGAGCCCCAGGCATCCCACTGTCTCTGCCTCTTCAGTGCTGGGATTACAAGGGCACAGCACCATGCCCAGCACCCAGGGGCACTTTGAACAAAGCCAGTGATGGTCACCAGGCCAAAAATGAGGAGACCAGCCTAAAAAGTGAATGTGGGTTCTGGGGACTTGGATCCTCATACTTGTGAGGCAAGCACTTTACTAATGAAGCTGTTCGCCAGGCCACTGATCTCCTATTTACAGATAAAGAAATGGGAACTGTATGAATCGTCTGTCTTTACTTATGAAGGAATGGAACCTGAAGTCAGAGACATTCACTCTTCCCTATCATAACTATTTCCCCCACACAATTGAAAATTAGCACATGCAGCTTTGAATTCCACGATAGTAATGACGGGATGATGATGATGGTGGTGGTGGTGATGATGACGGTGACGGTGATGATGATGACCTCATTATTTAGTCCTGCTTCTTCCCTGCAGTGTCTGAATACTCAGCTCTAGCAAAACCTTGCATGTTGCATCATTGCTGTAGCTGAGCTTTTACAGAAAGCCAGAAAGCCAGGCTGAACAATTAATAGCCTGGTCAGGAGCCTAAGTCACGAGATTTAAAAGCACATCTTTGCTAATCAGGGTTTTAAACCTGTTACCGAGGTCTTTAAAAAGCTATAGAACGTGTGGTGCTGATTTATGGGGTGGGGGTGGATAATGAGATTCTCTGGATTGCTTTCCAGAGCACACTTTGAGGAGATATACAGAAACTAAATATTAAATGCAGATCAGCTTCCTTTAGCTGTGTAAATTGTGCTTTGGAGGTTACCCGGCCAAAATTGAGGGGACCAGTCTAAAAACCCTTTAGAAGGTAGGGATTTATTATTCGTGGGACAAAAGATGTAATCAAAAGACTTGTCCCTAACACTACTGGGGATCAGTCTCTTGTCTTAAGGACTGATTTTTCCCCTTTTTTCTCTTTTGTCACGATGTTCTGTCACTTGGTGTCAAGTGGACAAGTTCTCTTTCTTTTTGTAACTAATCATCCCTGACATGTACTTAAAAATCTTTTACTCCAGAGAATCTGCCTGTGGTGTTTCAGGTCAACCTCACCCCTTGTGAAAAATACCATACATGTAATCTCAGTCTGAGATCTAAAAATACAAGCTTGTGGAATGCTGACTCTTTATAGTACATTAGGCTGGGTCATCTTTCACTGGGGTGAGTGGGCTAACCAAAGAGTCTGCAAGTCCATCACTGGCTTTGTTCAAAGTGCCCCTAGGTGCAGGAAATGAAAGAGACCTGGTGGACTCTGTTACCCCATGCTTAGTGAAAGCAGTATGACAACTGGATCCCTCCTGATTTTCTGAGACAGTACAACACTACAGACCAAAAAGGCTTCTAGTCCTCAGATGTTTTATTTTCTCGTTGTTTATTGCTCATGTAAAGAAATACTATTGACATTTAGAATTCGGCATTAGGTGTGCCATTCTCTGAGCTTTGACCAATGCGATAGAGTCGCCACAATCAAATAAAGCACAGTTCTTCCCCCAGAATATCCAGTTGTCATCTTCCCCTTTCATCAGCCTCAGTCCCCAACAGCCACTCATCTGTTCTCTGTCATGCTGTCCTTCTGCAACCACATGGTATGGAAACTGCGAGTGTGGCTTTTTTCATTCAGTGCAATGCACTTATGGTATATCTATGCTAGTGTGTGCACCAGCAGTTTATGCCTGTGTGTTGCTGATCTGTCCTCAGAAGTCTGTCTACACTTGAACCAACTGAACACCATCTGAAGGCCATTTAGGTGGTTTTTGTCGAGCACTAATAAAGACAGTATAACATGTGTGACAGGACTTTTTCTCCCTTGTTTGGGTTAATTTGCATTGTTGGGTAAGTATGATGGTAAGTGTGTGTTTAACTTTATAAGAAACTGTCCATTTTCCAAGGTTGCTCCCCATTTTGGCATTTCTAAATAGCAATTAGTAGAGTCTTTATTGCTTTGTATCTCTCCTATGATTATGTACCATTTGTTTACTATTTGTTCATCTTTCTAAGGGGTTTATTTGTTTGGGGGTTTTGGCATTTTGCAGTACTGGGGCCTTGCACATGCTAGGCCAGTAGTCTACCACTGAACTGCATCTCCACCGTGTCTGTTTGATTTTAATCACTTTAGTTCATATGACCAGTTTGCATTTCTGTGCTTATTTGACATATTTATGTCTTCATTGATAAATCTCTTGCCCATGTTTTAAGAGGGTTAGTTTTCATATTACTGAATTTTATTATTCTTCATATATCCCAGATACAAGTCCATGGCAGTTAAGTGACATCCAAATAGATCAAATGAAATCCAATGTTAATTATTGTAGGGATTGAAAAAAACATTATGCCTACCTTGACCACATCAAAAGCGCTGCAGCTGATACTCGTATAACAACATTTAATCAACATTTTATATGACCAAAGAACCATCAGAAATGAATAGCCAAAGACCCAGGGAACACTGCATGCTTAAATTTGGTGCCAAATGGACAGCTGTTCTCAAGTAGGATTGGAGACAAGGGTCTGACCTCATGGTACGAGGATGAGGGGAGAACCCAGCAAGGACTGTCAAAGTTCCTTTTGGCTTCTTTATCAAGTATTACTCCCTCCAGAACACAGGACATTAGCCCTATGGATCTCCAAGGAAGGAAGGAGAAGGGAGAATGTGACTTTTCTAGGTTTTATGGCAGGTTTGGAAGAACAGAGGCTGTGGTTTTAAAGACTACTCTTTGGTAAAAGGAATATCATCTCACTTTGGAGGAGAAAGAAATGGATGGGCAGGAGAGGGTCAAACAGACCTTACCAAATCTGAGGCCTTTCAGTTTAAAATACTCAATATGCCAGATCACCATTCTGTGGGGTGTTGTGTTCTGAGTCCCGACATTAACCCCTAGCCTAGTCACAGCAGAAATTACAAGAAATGAGATGTAGGACAGGCCTTCTGAGGACTCTGTTTTTCTTGCCGGCTGCTGGAGACATCAGTGAAGGGAAACTCATTCTTTCTGGTCTCCAACTTGCGTGCCTGTCAGACTCACTTCCTGGCAGTCTCATCCCATCTGTGGTTTTGAATACCATTTCTATGTAAATGATTTCCAAATTTATATCTTCAGCCTGGTCTTGTTTTCAAACTCAAGATTCCCATCTCTAACTGCCGACTCCACATCTCTAGAGAGAATTAACATTTTTAAATTCAGTTAGTACCAAACTGAATTCTTGATCCCTACCACCCCAAATCTTCTTATTGGAAACAATGATAACTTTATCCTTGCAGTGGGTCTGTGATCATCCAACTCAAGACACCATCAACACTTACCTGGATTACTGAAGTATCTACCAGAAAGTGTTCTCTGATTTTCCCCCTGACTTTCCCATACCTCTACCTCAAACCCATAGCCTCCTACCCAACAATAATCAGAACAGTCAATAAAAGATATAAACTAGGGTTAGAGAAATGGCTCAGGGATTAAAAGCATGTTCTTCTGGAGGACCAGAGTTCAATTCCCAGTACCCATGTCAGGTAGCCCACAACTGTTTATAACTCCAACTCGAAAGGGATCCAATGCCTTTGGTTTCCATAGCCACTTGCACACACGTGCACATACACACAGATACACACATACACATAATTTAAAATAATAAAGACAGGGACTGGAGATATGGCTCAACGGTTAAGAACACTAGTTATTCTTACAGAGAACCTCGATTGGTGGTGAACAGTCATTCATATCTTCAGTTCCAGGGGATCTGGCACCCTCTTCTGGCCTCCGCAGATATTGCACACTCATGGTGTATGTACATCTTGCAGGCAAAACACCCAGACACATAAAGTAAAAATAATAATAAAATAAATAATAAAAAAAACAAATCCTTAATAAAAAATTGAAAACCCCATAAGCCAGGTCATTTTGCTCCTCTTCTTAAAACCCTGATATAGGAAAAGTCAAAGCCAAAGTCATCTTAATAATCTACAAGGCTCACGATGACCTGTGTTCTTCACTTACTAGCTCAAACCCCTTCTGAAAACTCATTAGAGCTCTTTCATTGTCACCAAATTCTAACATACATTTAGATGTAACATATAGTTAGAGAACTTTTTTTTTTTCAGACTTAATTCACTTTATTTTTCTCATATAAAAGTCCTAGGTAGTAGCCACAGCTGGAGCCTGGTTCTCTGCACAGAGACTCTGGTGTGGGTTTTCACAAGATGATCAGTGAATTCCTGATAGGGAGACTTGGTGAAGACCATCTCTTTCCAGAGGTCAGGGGTCAGATAGCTGTAGGTCTTAGAGATAGCATCAAAGATGGCCTTGGCGAAGTTGCCCAGGGTGGCAGTGCAGCCCCTGGCTGATGTGTAGCAGTCATCAATACCAGCCATCATCAGTAGCTTCTTGGACACAGGAGCAGAGACAATGCCAGTGCCTCTGGGGGCAGGGATAAGGCACATCAGCACAGAACCACAATGGCCTGTCACCTTGCAGGGGATGGTATGGGGCTTGCCAATCCTGTTTCCCCAGTAGCCTCTCTGAACAGGGACAATGGAAAGCTTGGCCAAGATGATGGCCCCTTGAGTTGCAGTGGCTACCTCCTTGGAGCACTTAATACCCAGACCAACAAGACCATTGTAGTCCCCAATGGCGACAAAAGCCTTGAACCTTGTCCGCTGGCCAGCCAGGGTCTGCTTCTGCACTGGCGTGATCTTTAAAACCTCATTATTAACACCAGATATGAGGTGAGTCAATAGTAAAGCTGAAAACATAGTTTAGTACCTCACCCCCTTCTGATACTTATTCTAACTGATAGTCTGTCCTCTCAGAGGCTGTAATGTGCTTGTTAAAAAGTTAAAGTGCCTGGAAGTCATGATCTACCTACTACTTGGTAGAAACTCTGTGCACACTTTCAATATTATTCACAACCCTGCACCTTGTTCATGACTGTTCTCATCCCTTAGGTGGTAAGCCTGAAGAATAGGAGGCAGGAATTGGCTAGGCAGTTAGGGTAAAAAGACCCCAAAGAAATGTAGCCAAAGTCAAAATGTCCTTGGGTGTTTTAGCAACATACTCTGTTCCAAAGGCCAAAAAATGTCAAAAGTATTTGGGAGCTTGTATCTAATCCTTAAAATATTTTAGGGTTACCTCTTCAGAAGGAGGAGTTTTGGAGGGGAGGGAGTGGGCATGGATTTGATCAAAACACCTTATATATACATGTATGAAAGTCTCAATAAAATTTTTATAAAAATTGAGAAAAAAAAAAAAAGAGCCTGAAATTTGGAAGGCTAAGAGCCTTTCTTCAGTCTCATGGATGACAACTGAGAACAGAGGAGAGCTCAGGCAGGGCGTGGTCCCATACCACTTTTGTTAAAAGTACGTAAAAAAATAAAGAGGAAAAGACAAAGACCGCCCTGCCACCCGAGAGTCTCTAAAAAGGTTACAAAGATAAATATCTTATGATTTTAGTTCTGTCTTTGATATCTTCTATACATGTTTCTTTTCTCCTTTACGTTTTCTTCTCTGCCAAGTAGGTAAACGAGACCTCACAGTCACCCAAGAGTGTTCCCAGTGAGAACTCCTGAAACCGTAAAGAGAATGGTGGAATATGGGAGATGCGTCAAGTTCTCTTACCCTGGAAACCAGCCAGTCTGATCAATATATAGATCTACTTGGCTTTATCCACTAAATGTTCCTGAAACATTGTCTATAAAATAAATATTTGTGTACAGAAATCACATATTCTCACTACCGTCCTTAGTGATTTTAGAAATGTGTTCGTATACACACAGAGAAATGTTTGCTCCAACATTACAAAATGATGCCCGCTACTTGACACCGAGGGTGCACTCAAAGGAATGTTCTGACTTTGTAAACACTGCTCAGACAAGTTCAGCACATGGACAACCAATCTATATGATCACTAGAACGGCTGCAAAAGCACAACTCTTCAAAATACACAATCAATTCCCTATCAAATATTTAAACAGCCTTCTTAAGCCTTGGAGCTGGATGTTTAATAAAATCCAGTAGAGATGGATGAAAATACTTTCAGAGTAACTGCTGAGCAACCCATACTTTGCAGTTCACGTCTGTCCACAGCTACCCTTTGTCCATCTATTCCTTCACCAATAAATGCATGTTTTCTGACCTCGATGAATATCTAATTAATGGAAAAAAGAGATTCTGTCTTCTACCTGATGAGAACAATCCTAGTGACACCTGAGATAAGAAGAAACTTCTTGCTGCTTCTTTACAACCCAGAAAACTTGAAAGTGAAATGTCATGTATATAAATCAGAATGCTGCCTGGTGTGTTGCGTACATAGATTCCACTCTGTGCAAACTGAGAGAGCATGGGAGAGCTGCGATTGCCTTCTCTGTAAAAATGTGCATCATAATATCAATCTCATAGTCATCTATAGAAGTATATATTGATTTAATCACATGCCATCTAATCTCGCTCTTATCAGTTGTACAGTAAGTGCTATTTATTACAATTTGACAGAGTTAGGAACTGAGATTTGGATGGGTTAAGTCACTTACTTGAAGGTGAGCAACTATTAGGACTTGAATGAAAGACTGTTAAGATTGAGATGTTTTCCTTTTTAGTAGAGCAATTAACTTATTGTGGGCCTTCAACTAAGTTGATATATTTAAAGACAAAGATATTGATCATCCAATAAGCATTTGTCAAATGATTGGACATAAGGAGTGTATACATTTGCATGAATAAGCACAAAATAGGTATGCAGATTCACTCCTGACCTCCTAGCCTGTGGAAAAGCCTACAACCTGAATGGAAAGCTACCATCCATAACCAATTATCAAAGAATTATAAAAAACAAAAACACTTAAACATCATCAACCAGAAGACAAATATAGCTTCTTTTTTCCTTGGGATGAATGCAGAGGTTTCCTGTATAAATTTTATTTATTCAAATGAGAGCTATTGGCTTTGGGAAATTTTCTTCAAGACAGGCTATTCAGTGCAGAAATGCATGCAACAGTACTTAACAATCTATTCCTGAAAAAGAAAGCCATCATAATTATAAAGATGGAAAACATTGGCAAATTTTCTAACAGAATGTGAGAAAATGCTTATTACTGAAACATTTGAATTACTAGTAGATCAGTTTTTAAGAGTGTTGACATTTTGGTTGATTTTGAATGGCCCTTAATGGAGTGGGGGGTTATGCATTCTGGCCAGGTTGGCAGGCCAATTTACAGATCAAAGCCTTAGACATACAGAAACCATTATCAGCCCTGGCTGGGACTCCCCAGGGAGGACCCTTTCCTTGCCACCACTGGTAGCAGCTACTGTTTCCAGACTTCTCAGCTTGGGAGCTCCTTAATGAGGCAAAGACTCTAAACAGAAAGGAGAACAGCTCTTGTGATCAGCCATCTTTGGCTCCGATCTTTGTTTCTTTATTTTCCCATTTAATAAGTATTTACTGGCATTAAACAAACCCAAGCCACTTTCTTAGGAGGCATCAAAATAAAGACCAGTAATTTTTAGTAGATGAGCCTAAAAGCCTTCTTGGGAGGTTGGGAAGAGCTTTTATAGCAAAAGTCATTCCCGTATCAGCTAACAGTATGTACCAAGGGGAAGGATCTTCTGCAGTTGTGGATCACTGAGCAGTAAAGCCTGAAGTGTGTTACTGTTCATGTTTCTAACCCAGGCAGTAACAGGGGGAAAGAGAGTCCGGGCACTGTTCTGGGCTCTCTGTGCCAAGACAAGCTTTGCTGAAGATGTTCCCTCAGAGCTGTCTCCAGTTTCTAAGAGGTAGGGCCTGCCAGAAATAGTGGGTGAGTCAGCTCCTTTCCGAAGTGTCACCCCTTAATAACAGAAAAGAATAAATCGCTTCTCTTCCCCTAGGTGGGAGGCTTCTGGTCTACGTCTCAGTCTTGCAGCAGCTGAGAGGAACCAAGCTTTGGTCACCACTGCATAGGACATCTTCATTTTCTTCCCTGTCTTGCTTCCATGCTCCTCTCTTGGTGTTTCCTAACACCACCTCCTAAATAAGCACATTTGACTCAATCCCGGCCTCAGAGTCTGTTTCTGGATAATAAAGCTTGAGACTAACAGTTTAGTGAGTTCTTTCCTTAAAAAAGGCATATTCAAAGGTTTTCTTTGCATGTCCAATGTATTCCCTCCTACCACAGCAACACAGTCTATGTTGGCATTCTGTAAAAACTGATCTTCAAGATCTACTCTATATATTTATATATTTCTCCATGTCTATGGCCATGGAGAAATTTGAGGATTTAAAAGAAATTTAGAGATTGGGACCTTGGCTCAGTGGTAGAGCTCAAGGCCCTGAGTTCAGGCCTCAGCTCCAGAAAAAAAAAAAGACAAAATAAAAGATTTTGATTTAATGCTAGCCATGTAGATTACTGCAAAGAAACTTTAGAGGGGGATTGCTCAGTGATTAAGAGCACTGGTTGTTCTTGCAGAAGACCTATCCCAACGCCCACGTAGCAGCTAACAACCATCTGTAACTTCAGTTCCAAGGCATCTGATACCCTCTCTTTCCTCCACTGGCACTGCATGATACAGGTGCACTTACATACATGCAGGCATAACATTCATACACATCAAAAAAAATAAATTAAAAAAAGAAACCAGAATACAATCTGGGTAGGGTGTGATAGTCAAGTGTGTCTTTGTGAGATCAGAAATATTCTCAGAAGACAAGCTCAAAGGTGTGCTAATGCAAAATGTAAACCCATCCCAATGATTGACACATTTCCTTAGAACAGGAAGCATTCTAGCAGGGTAGGGAAGTCTGAAATGAGGAAAGTAGTGAATTTGTGTAGAACCAGCAGGCTTCACCTTGTGGAACAAGCACTCAGCTTAGGAAACATTTTTTAAAGGTATTATTTATTATTATTTTTTTAATGTGTATGAGTGTATTGTCTGCATGTATATGTATGCACCCATGTTGTACAGTGACACAGAGGTCAGAAGAGGGCTTCGCATTCCCCAGAACTGGAGTTAAGGATGGTTCATAGCCGCCATGTGTGTGCTGGGAATTGAACCCGGGTCCTCTGCAAGAGCAGTCAGTGCTCTCAACCGCTGAGCCCCAGGAAACATTTTAACCAGTTGGCGAGGGGAACTGGACACCATGGCAGGAAGGAAGGGGCTTGCCATTTAAGAGTCTCCAACATGCTATTCCCTAGCCCATTCAGTTCAAGGATTTCAAGTTAAGAACTAAGTTTCCCACCATTGACCTTCCCAGCCAACCCAACACATGTATCCATTCATATAAAGTAATTTTCAAGGACATGTTTTAACTGTTGAGAGGGTAACGCAATAGTTGTGGTATATGTATAAAGATGAAAAAGAAAAACACAAGAGGGTGGCATGCTGTCCTTCTGGTCACCCATCCCTTCCCCTCCCATCACCAGGGAGTCTCAAGCAAAAGGAGAAGGAAATGCTAGTACTTAGATTTTTTCATGGAAGGTATTGTCAGTTCTGGGTTTTAAGTTAGTAGAACCCAGATGACAAAGCGCATGACAGATTTGGGAGGAAGGCTTTTCCTGTCTCCAAGAGTGAATTTCTAGCACTGACCCACCACCCAACATAATGATGCAGCTCAAATCCCTTAAAGCTTCATGGGGACCACTAACAGACAACTAACTGCTTTATTGATCAGCCGTCTGCCAAAGGACACTGCTGGACAGTTGAAGTACCTTGCAAAGAATGTGTGGGACTAAATCCTAAGACATAATTAGAGAATCAAGTAGGGGAAATTCTGGGACACCCAAAT